GGGTCTAACCACCGAACCTGAGGATAAGGGGCCAGGTAGGGAGGATAGACCCAATCTCTACCTATGGACCCCGTTGACGCTTCAATCCAAAAACACTAGGCATCCAGTGCATTCCACAACCAGGCTCAGTGATGTTTTGGCTTACTTTCGAGGGTCCTTTCCCACATGCTCTGGACCAAGACAGTCGAGAAAGGCTTGGTGCCAGTCCTGGTTCCCTATTTGGTAGATCCATCTATAGATCAACGTTTCTCTTTCCGGATGCATCAACTCGAGGGTGCTCACCCTGTCAGGATGTTGCCATTCCGGAGCTCAAGGCAGGGTCTCGCGATGTCGCGGCAAGAAGGACAACTCTTGGAACCATCCAACTGGATTTACAGCCAGAAAATGCCAGAAATGTGTCTCAGAGTTCGTATGGCTAGGGCTCAAGAATTTGTGCGCCACAATGAACAACAGGTATACAAGCGCTCTACCAGATGAAGGAAGACCACAAACCTGTGAGTCCTAGAGAGATTTGTTGGACTGAGCCACACATTCCAGGACACTCCCAAAACCTCAAAGGCTCCAGCCATGTTGTTGAAACCCTTTCTCCAACAACATCCTTCCACTAAGTGAGTCGGACCCATCATTCCCCCTACCAAACCGAACGAATGCCATGCGAATGCCCCAGATCTCCATCGATCCAAACGCCTCAAAAATCGCTTTCGCCTCAAATGGCCACGCCCGCAGGAGCCGGTGCACTTCAAGGGTCCTATGCTCCATACCCTCTCTGAGGCGAGGAACGCACGCTTCGACCGGGAAGGGCACCCGGGCAACGGCCAGGTGGCAACGGCCGCGGGATGCGGTTCGTGTTTGTTTGGGAAGAGCGGTGGTCTGCGGTGTAGATGCGGGAAAATTCTGCAGACCAGGTCTTGCGTGTTGGTGTTGTTGTTGGATGATGGTGAAGATTTCTCAAATATGTTACTGAATGTTGATTTCATATGATTTCATGATATTTCATGTATATGCAAGGCGTTCTTTTAAGTGTCTTAAGCCCAAAAGGTGTGATACGGGATTTTGACTCAAAGGCCCCATACCAGTCGGCCAGCTTGTTGCATGTTCTCCCTTCCTGGGAGCGGAGGAACTGGTGAAACCCGCGATCACATCATGACGCAAAGAGCTAAGAGCGAACGGACGCAGAAGAAGTCCAAGCATCCGTCGTTCCTGCGCCTCTGAACCCCTCCGGAACCTGATCCATCGCGTCGGCCGCATGATCCATCGACGCGGTCGACCCGGTCTGCAAAACCACCCGTCACGTGTGACGCGGTCGACGGATGCGTCGCGTCGGGTGGCAGGGCGATCCAGACAGCCTTCGGTCCCAAAACGGAGGAGGTAGACGGAACCGACCCTGACTTCCTGACCGACACAGCAAGCGGCAGCAAGGGTAGAATCCGGTTCTGACCTGGTGTTGCTGAAAAATGTACTTTTTGTTTAATGTTCCTTATTATATGGTTAAATCCCATGTTCTGGTCTGGTGAATATATGTTTAACTTAATTCTTTGGTTCCGCAAATCCACCGGTTCTGAACAGCAGGACCTGGGAACGGCCAGCCGATTCTCAGCGATGAGCCATTGCAACACCGACCCGGAGCTACTCGAAGGAAGTGGTGGAGTTGGGAGGGAAAGTCAAGCGGAAAGACCATGTGTTTTGGTTTGAGGATAGACATCCACTAATATAGAATGAGTTTTGAGAGGTGTTTGTCTGTGTTTGAGAGGTTTTGTGGGCGGTACGTGTGAGTGGATGTGTGTTGATGGTCTGAAAAGCCACCCGACGGAACAGTCCGTTCAGAGTTGAGGGAGCTCTGCGAGTTGAAAAGGACGAAACATGCAGAGGAGAGCACGCTTTTCTTGGCTGCATCCTAGCCGTGTAGTTGCTGTAAATGAGTCTGAATGATTACCTTGCTTGGAACGTTTCCGAAGACAAGGTCGCTGAAGAGATTGGAGGCCAACAGGCACGGCGGAGCAGGCACAGATAGCTCAAGCACAGAATGAGGCCGCTGTGAAGGCTGCAGATGCAGGCTTGAAGCATCAAAACAGAGCTTGATTCCCTCGAGGGATGATCTGCTGAAACATGTAGCCAACCGCCACACAATGCTTTGGCTCTTGAACTAAGTGATGCTGCTCTATACACGTTTCTTATCGTTTCTTTGTTGGCGGATCGCTAGCAGTTTCCCTTTCTTGAGAGCGGTACCCGAAGGGTACCATGTTCGTTGAGAAGGGATGAGACATGCTCAATGCCTTTCTGAACCGCTTTGCGAAGCTGGCCAAATCCGTCATCCGCCGCCGCTAGCAATGAATCAGAGCGGCAGAGACACATCCAGGCCGCCCAAGAACTCCGGGAGAATCCGGAGTGTTCCAGGAATGAGAAGATCCATCAAGCAGCACCACCCAGTTCGGGTGGTCCAAAGACCATGTTGATCTATACCAGATCCACCCAGGGGATGTCTATTTATAGCCCCCTTAGGTGTCCATTAACACTCATTAACCATCTCTGGTGGGTCCTGGTATGTATTTTCCTTCCAATAAGCACCCAAAATGGGTGGTGCTGGAGAGATGTCACAGAATCTCCAACTTCGTCAGGCAGCCAATCCGCTTCCCGGCACCGCGTAAGTGAGTGCCATGTTCCACACTATGCCAGCCAAGTGTGCAGTGTGCATGAATAAAACCCTCATGGGAATACATTGTCCACTATGATTCTGATCGACTGGTGACTCAACCGTTTGGAATCACGCAAGAATGTTTGATTCATTTCCTTCCTGAACGACAGAGTGTTCAAACCTACCTGATGTTTGTATTTCAATAGACACATCCCA